CATAAAGGACATACTGACTTTGGAGGCAGGGGATCTGGGTTCAAATTCTAGCTCTATCACTAACTGGGCTGTGTGACCTTGGACTGTGTGATATTGTGGCTCTGGGTCTCATGTTTTTCATCTGCAAAATGAAAGGGCTGGAAAACATGATCTCTAAGAGAATTTTTCAAATTTGAACAAGATATGATTTTTACTGAATAAATAAATATATACATTTTTGCTGTTCCATTTATTCATTTTGTTTCTTGGTTTTTGTTATCTTCATATATACGTATGTATGTGTGTGTGTGTATGTATATAAACATATACATAACATAAGCATATATAAGCTGGGGGTGGAGCTAGGTGGCACAGTGGATAAAAGGTAAGGTCTAGAGTCAGTAAAAATCTTGGTGAGTTCAAATTTGGCCTCAGACACTTACTAGCTGTGTGACCCAGGGCCAAGTCACTTCACCCTGTTTGCCTCAGTTTCCTCATCTATAAAATGAGCTGGAGAAGGAAATGGCAAACCACTCCAGTATTTTTGCCAAGCAAACCCCAAATGGGGACACACAGAGTCAGACATGACTGATACAACTCAACAATAACAACAAAAATATAAATATATATAATACACACATATTTTTCTGAGGATGACGATGAATAAAACCCATGACCAAGCTTTATATTTACAAGGTGGAGCTAAGGCTCTTCTACAAAGTATGGAAATGTGCATCAAATGTAACAATTATTCTAGTACTTACTGGATAATAACAACACTAAGAATAATAGTATGTTAATTACAATGATCCACTTGCTATGTAGAAGAGAACTGGAGTTAAAGGCAGAAAGCCTGGATTTGAATCCCTGCTCTTCTGCGTGACCTTGAGCAATTCAATTCACCTCTCTGAAACTCAGTTTTCTAATCTGTAAAATGAGGGTGTTGGACTAGGTGATTTCTAAAGTTCCTTCCAATTCTAATGCTATGATCAGATGACTCACTCAGTGTTATTAATGACCTTCTATGTGCAATAAACTAGGTCAAGAACTGTCATTCTTTATTTACAGAAGAAGAAGATGGAAGTCTAGACCCACACTATTTTTTAAATGGCTCTAAAGAAGTTAGCACAAATCATGGTGGCTAAGTACAATCTAGAGCAGTGAGAAGGAATGACAAATATTTACCGACATAAAGGGATGCTAAAAAAGAACTGGGATCTTTTATTAATTAATGAGGATGAACAAGCAGTGATGGGTATGAGCCGTAGCAGGAAATTTATTTTTAGATTAAGCAGTAGGCCACTTCATTACAAGCACAATTAAGGCAGTCAACAAGCTGCCAAAAAGATTGAGGAATTTTCATTGCTGGAGAGACTTCAAACTAAAACAAGGCAAACCCTCTGCCAAGCTTAATGATAATTAAATCATTGCTGTGGAGGAATTACATACATCAGAGGAATCATAAGGGCTGACTAAATACTTCTCACATAGCATCTAATTCTAAAAATTTAATATTCCACAATTGATTATGATACCAGAATATGCTCCCACAAAAAGAAATACATAGTATGATTATAAAGCATAAGACTGATTTCCTTAAGCAAACAATATATACCCATGTTTATTTTATAGTCACACCTTTGCAACTGACTGAGTTTAAGGAAAAAAAACCAAAGCTTTGCTCAGTGTAATCATATGTCTCTGTGGCCTCTCCATATCTATTTTCATTGAAATCCAATAAAAATCATTGCAAATATGGTTCATTTGGATACTTTGATTAGCCACTATTTTGCTTCAAGATGACGAATTCAACTGCAAATCTATAACATGGTACCAATTTCTGTCAGCTTGGTGACAAATTTCATCAAAATAAACCAACTCTTCCAAAAGCTGTCATGAAACAAACAGGCAGACATGAAATACCCAGCAGTCAAGTTCAAACAGAGATTTCACTTTGTTGGAAAATTAAATCAACATTCTTTTCCGCTTGCAAGGCAAATACCTGTACTCTGAAATATTTGTCCTATATTTGGAATCAGAAGATCTGGGTTCAAATCTTAGCTTTGAAATGTATTAGCTCTATGACCTTGGTCAAAAACAATAGTAACAGCCTCTCTGAGCCTTGGTTTTCTCATCTGGTAAAATAAGGATGATGATAATACTTACCCTAAGTATCCCATGGGGTTATTATGAGAAAAGTATTTTGTAAACTGGAAAGTGCTATGTATATGTGTGTAATTGTTTGGAATTATGTCCCAAAAGTCACTAACCTGTCTATACCCATTGACCCAGCTATACCACTACTAGACCTATACACCAAAAAAAGTCAAAGAAAATAGAAGAGGATCTATATGTACAAAAATATTTATAGCAGCTCTTTTCATAGCAGCAAAAGAAAAAACTAGAAAATGGAAGGGTTGCCCACTTATTGGATAATGGCTAAATAACATGAATGTAATGGAATATTACTGAAGTACAAGAAATGACGAAATGAACAGTTTCAGAATAAACTAGGAAGATATTAACTGATGCAAAGTGAAGTGAGAACTAAGAGAATAATCTATAATAATCTAATAATACTATGACAACAACATTTTAAAGAAAAACAACTTTGAAAGACTTCAGAACTCTGATCACTAGAACGACAAATCATGATTCCAAAGGACTAATACTAAGACATACTATCCCCACCTACTGTGAGAGGTGATGGACTTAAAATCTGGAATGAGACACATTTTGGACATGTCTTTTGTTTTTCTGACCTACTCATATTTGTTATGAAGTTTTTCTTTACTATTATTATTGTAGTTGTTGTTCAATGGCATATGGAATTAGAAGAGGAAAAATGCTTGTTAATTTAAAAAATAAAATCAGTTTCCTTTTTAAAATGTATGACATTAGTTGAGTTAAATTGGCATTGCCTATTGGTTAAAGTTCATAATAAGTATGTATTTTTTCTATTCTTTTTTTTTTTTTTTGGTGAGGCATTCAGGGTTAAGTGACTTGCCCAGGGTCACCCAGCTAGTAAGAGTTATGTGTTGTGTGTCTGAGACCGAATTTGAACTCAAGTCCTCCTGACTCCAAGGCTGGTGCTCTATCCACTGTGCCACCTAGGTGCTCCTGTATTTTTTTTAAAATAACAAATTTGGCCAGATGTGATGAAGCACACTTAAAATTCTTGCTCCTCAAGGAAGCTGAAACTGGTAGACTGATTGAATTAGGTAGTTTTGAGCTATAGTAGGGCTAAAGTCAATTGGGTGTCTGGAATATGTCAATCACAATATGGTGAGCCACCTAAGGAGAAGTAAACTGGACTAGGTTGGAAACAGGTCAGATTACAGCTTCTATGATGATCAGTATTGGGCTGAGGACTGTGAGTAGAGCTACCCTTCCAGTCTGGATGAGATAGGGAGATCTTGTTTCAAAAAAAAAAAAAAGGCATAACGAGAAGAAAAGGAAAAAATAAAGTAGTCCCAGAAAGTGATTATGTGTATGCCCAGAGTTTCAGGAAATTGACATTAATTATGTATAACAATAAAAATTTAGCAGACAGAAATAATTCACATTAATAAAGCACTTTTAAGGTTTAAGACACACCTTCCTCACAACAACCCTTTGAAGTATGTAGTGAAAGCATTATCCCCATTTCACAGACGAGGAAGATTAAGTAACTTAACCAGGGTCACATAGCTAATGAAGATAAGAACAAGGATTTGTTGGATTATACTGGGATTTATTGATTGCTCGTCTTTTTCCACACTGATATGACTAGCATTTGTAGGATGGAAAGCAGATCTAATAATTTTTTAATTAAAGAACAATATCTTTTTTTAAATATACTGACATATAAAACTAAGGAAATTTAGTCTCAAATAGATCTCACCCAAAATTAAAATTACACAAATCAACCTAATTATTCAGTTACTGGTGGTCCAATTTATGAATCTGCCATTCTTCTCCTTTCTTGTACTTTTTATTGCTGATCTGTTTATCATTGGTAATTTTAGTACTTCCAACATGACATGGACAAGACAAAGAAAAGGAGGTCAATTTTCCTATTATGATGAAAACCACTCCCACTAATGGAGTGTCTGGGCATGAAGGTGACACTGGTTTCTCAAAGATTATGTCAGTAGAGAATAAGCTCTAACAGGTTCTAACAACCTAGGAGGTATTTGAATATGGATCTGGTGAAGGAGCGCACCTCCACTGTCAAGGACCCATCTAAATCTGGAAAGACTGATCATCATGTTAGCATCAGAGAGATGACTGGCCATAGCAACTCTTAAGGAGCACCTACTCAGTTGTAAAGGGCCAGGGATCTATATCAGTGGACTAGTGACCAGCAGGTCAAACTCACAGATCCTTGAGTATTAAAAAAAAACCCTTTACCTTTATTACATTGTAAGTTCCTTGAGAACGGGGATTGTCTTTTGCCTCTTTTTATTTCCTAGTGCCTGGCATGGAGTAGGCACCAAATAAATGGTTATTGACTGCCTCACTCACTTATAATGCATTTCATAATTACAAAGAGTTTCATGTGTCATATATCATTTGATCCTTCAAATACGCTTGTGAAAAAAAGTATATGATTATTTTTCCCCATTTTATAGATGAAACTAAAACTCAGAGAGGTTAATAGATTTGGCCAATGTAGCGTTTTTATACAACAGACAGACTAGACCTCTGACTTCAAATCCAGGACTTGCTTTATGACACCACACACTATCTATTTCTGCAATATAAGATCCACTTTTGGGAGGAAAAGCTAAAATTTTCACCTTATCTAAAATAAGAATTATGCCCATCTGTGTTTCATTTATCCAGGTTATTCTTCTGTATCTCTAGCAAATATAATTATGTCTCAATAGTAAATACGTAGAGAGATACACATAGCATATGGTGTTTTTTATTCTTAGTATCCCCCCCCACTGATGATGAGACATTAAATGACATTATTCTCTAAAAATGTCTTTGAAAAACAAACAATGACTAAGAAACTTATAGGAACTAGTACTTACACGCTCCTGACCAGCTGTATCCCAGATGAGGAACTTATGAAGCTCATTTCCACAAGGCACAGTTTTAGTCATGAAGGAAGCACTGTAATTAAGAATCAACATGAGGTTAGTCCTGTAAATCACTATGCTTCAAACAAGCTCACTCCTCAGCAGGACTCTGGTTTCTTGACCAAACCCCTGAGAAGAAAAAAGGACAGTTGGGGTCATGTGTCACTCTGAAAAAATATTGGGTCTTCCATACTAATGTAATGGTCTGTTAAAAAAAAATCTAGCAAAGAATTTTTATACATTTTGATGGATTGTGTTTCCAGCAGTCCTGTTGTTGTGTGCATAACATTTTTCAGCTCTTGAAAAAGAGTAAACCATGGATTTTTTAAAAAGAAAAAAAATCCAATTCCACAGCAAGTTTGGTTCACAAGTAGGTTGATATGTTGATACCATTATAGTTTTGTCATGGCAACAGTAGAAATGGCAAAACGGCCTACCTAATGTGCTGCGTTGTGAGTAAACCCAAAGCTAATAGCATCTGCAAAAATGCTGTTATCTCTGTTCCCAAACCTTTGGATAATACTTCTGTACCTGGTGAATTATGAATATAACAAATATCATAACAAATATTCCTGTTTCCTACACAACAATAAACATGTAAGATCCTCAAGAAATAATGACACATGCCACTGAACGTTTTCTTTCTTCCTCATTTTTTCCTGGGTTGTATCCATACATGGCCACCTGCTCTTTCTTGTTTCATATGAAAGACTTCCCTATCCTAAGGTCCTCCCTCTGATGTGTGACCCTGGGTTCCTGAAGACAAGGCCAAGGGAACACTAGTTCTCTGAACATTTATTGAAGATGCCGTTGAAGGCTTAGCCAAGCTGAGGTCTTTGAATATACGTCCAGGGAGAGACTGTCTATTGTCCATGGGCTAGATAAGTTTGGGGGAGGTTCATAGCAAGGTGATGAATTTGGAGACAATTCTCTAAAGTACTGAAAGACTTCACAAGAAGTGTAGAATTCCCTCCACATCCTTTTTACAAGGTGCATCTTCTCAATGGCCAACACATTATTTCCTTGCCTCTCTCCCAGTTCCTATTTTGTATCATACTCCTTAAATATTAGAATTTCAAGTATTCACCAGAGGCCCTACCCCTTTGGTCCAATGATCTACGCTTATCTCATGCCAGGAGCTCCCTAGTACCAAGAAGACTGCTTAAAACTAGGGCAAAAATGAAAAGGAGTTTCCTCATCTTCTTTGAAGAGGTAAAGAGGCTAGGGATGTGGAATACTGAATATAATGTCAGGCTTTTTCAAAGTGTTGGTTAGTTTTGCTGATTTTTTTTCTTCTTTGTTACAAGGTACAGCTCTTAGGTGGGGAAAAGGGAAGGATATACTGAGAAATGTAGGTAATAAAAAAAGAAATCAATAAAATTTATTTCAAAAATATTTCAAACAAAAAATAGGGTAGAAGAATGATAGCTTTAGTCCCAGGATCAATAGCAATACCTAAGTAGTTCTGTTCTATGAACCCATCTACCCAGACGAGATTTTGAGATGCTGTTTCCAAGTCTCCTAATTCAGATCCCATTGCCCGTGTATTTCTTCATATATTGTTTGAATTGAAATCCTACTAATCTATGCCTGAATACTTTGTAGTTGAATCATATGGGGCCTCTCCACCTCTAAATTCCAGCTCTGACCTGCTTTCTTGGACTCTAAACCTCGCTGGCATACTCCAGTTTGGGCTCCTCCCTCATGACTCATAACTATTCTGTTCATCCAGCCCTGCTCAGCCCTTGCTCATAGCCCCAGATGGCATGCCCTGGCAATGAGATATCCTTTTCCACCTTCTATCTCCTTGCCTCACCACCTCCTTAAGCTTCCCTACCCTAATAGTGTCTTTCTCCTCCATTCACCAATGAAAATAAAAAATAAATAAAATAAATTTTTGTGATTCATATAACTGTATATGATATACAATAATATACAATTTATATAATTTATTTTTATATAAATATAAAATAAATAAAGAGAAAGAAAAAAAGAAAAAATCTACCTACATTCTTCTGGTCTTGAATATACTTAATAATGGGGCAGCTAGGTGGTAAAGTGGACAGAGTACCAGGCCTGGAGTCAGGAGATACTTACCAGCTGTGTGATCCTGGCCAAGTTACTTAACCCTGTTTGCCTCAGTTTTCTCATCTGCAAAATGAGCTAGAGAAGGAAATGGCAAACCATTCCAATGTCTTTGCCAAGAAAACCCCAAACGGGGTCACAAAGAATCAGACATGACTAAAAATGACTGAATAACAAACTTCCTAATAAGCACAGAGTAGCTCATAAGTAAACAGAAATATAACGATCAATACAGAAAATGATTGTTTCATTGTAACTGACAACTGAAGTGGAAGTGTACTCCCACTTTTCCAGCTAGTGAGTTTCACTGGGCATGATTACATGGCACATTATAAATTCTGATAACATACGTATCTTTTTAATGAGTGATTTGATGTATACACACACCCACACACACACACACACACACACACCTAAAAACTTTCCCAAAAAAGTGTTCTACAAAGGGAACTTTGGACAACTCAGACAGGCACTCAATAGGCAGGCATTTTTAAATGTTTTGTAAACCTTAAAATGCTATGGAAATGTGAGCTATTATTATTAAACTGGTAGCTTCAGCTGTAATTCCCTCTGTTTAACTGTTTTTATAAATTTTATAAATTTCCATCTGTTTTTTTTTATCCAGGAAAACTTGGATCTAACTTGTAAAACACACACACACACACACACACACACACACACACAGATACAAAATTGCAGCTGGGAAAGGATATCACAGGGACTCCCATCTCCAACCTACCCTCCCACTGCTGCCAAAATTGTCTTCTTAATATCTAACCAGGTCATTTCCCTGCTCAAAAACCATCGGTGACTCTACTGCCTCTAAGAAAGGGCCTGCCACTTCAGACCCTTCATCATCTGGTTCCCACCTACTGCTGCAATGTTATTCACATTACTCCCCTCTGTGTACTTCACATTCTGGCCAAACTGGACTATGAGCTGTTCATCAAATCAGACATGCTGTTTCATGTCTCTGAACTCTCAGGCCTCTTGTCCCTCGAAGGCTCATCCCCTCATCTCTGAGGCCTTCCCTGATCTTCCCAGCTGAAAGTCGTCTTTCTCCCCTCAAATTGTTCTAGAGCATTTTGTCTGGATTTCTCCTTTGCCCCCATCTTACCTTACTGGTATATCACCTTACCTGGGTCCATATCATATCCCCCAAGAAGAATGTAAATTCTTTGAAGGCAGGAAGTATGCCATTTTTCCTCCTTGTATATGGAGGGCCTTGTATAGAGTAGGCACTTAGTAAGTTTTTACTAAATCTGAATGAATTTTACAAATGATGGTTCATACACAACCCCACAAGTAGCCTACTTAACAGCCATAGTTTTATCATTGGAAAAACTTAGATAATCCGGGGAACTTCACTATCTGATAGCAGTTAGTATAGTGCCTGGCACCTAGCAGATGTTTATTTATGAATTATTATGAATTACTTATTAATGTTTATTGAATTGAATTGGTGTTATCACCAATTCTCTGTATGTGGCTCACAATACTGAAAAAACAAAGGAGTTTATTTATAAGTCAATGAAAACAAACATGGTTCCCCTTAAGATAAGTGCCTTCCCTCTGAGATTATCTCCAGTTTATCCTGATTATATCTTGTTTGTACATAGTAGGTTGCATGTTGGCTCCACCATTTGACTGTAAGGACAGGGACTGTTCTTGACTTTTTTTGTACCCTCCAGTGCTTGGTACAGTGCCTGGCACATAGTAAGCACCTAATATTTGTTGACTGATGAATGATGCAAATCTTATTACTAATGCTGCCTGCCTGTGGGGAATGCTTATCCAGAGGCCTATTTGGTGCTTCTGATGTGGCTTCTCAAGACCAGTCTTTTTCTGAACCTTTTAGGAGCCTGAGCTGAATCCCCTTGTTGATTCTTGTCTATACGGGTCTTTATATTTCCTCTGTCCATCAGCTCAGCACTGCTGTGCCTGCTGCTCCCTGACAGGAACTGGGTCCTCCTCTTCCTCCTGTATATGTTGCTTGGCCTTTGGTCAGAGGTGTATTGGTAAATGTTCACCAACTAGATGTACAAACAACATACTTTGAGGTTTAATTTGCATTATCAACATTTTCTCCATCACTTTTTGAAGTCTAGAAAATTAACAAAAAAAAAACAAAAAAATGAGTTCCTGATGTGTAGCGTTTGCTGACTTCTAAGGTATAAATGCTCACACCGAAAATTTAACAAGCTGGTTTAGAGCTGACTCCAGCACACCCTTACATTTAGTTCTCAGTATGCCATGGCTGCTTCCTTCTACCTTTCAGCATTATTCCTCCTATAGATACCAGTGGATGGATTGTGATGTCTTCTCCAGAAGGTCTACTACGGCAGAGGTCCAGTCAGAGGTTAATCCTACAGCTATTCGAAGATATTCTACAGTCACCCCTTTTCTGGGCCTCTTAGTATCCCAGCTTTGGATGCCAAATGAGGTGCCCCACAGAGTTTCTACCTAGTGTTACAGTTCTGCCCATCTCTGGCCTTAGACAGAAGCAAACCCAGTGGTCACAAAGACAATTTGTCCCTGATACCTCTGACTGGATCTGTGATCAGCAACCTCATGTTTTGTCAGAGTTATATTCAGTCTGATATCCTCTTCATTCCAGCACCAGAGTGATATCTTTCCTGCCCATGTCGGTTACTTCTCATGTGTTTAGAGGCTTGGCAAAATCAATGGTTTTTCCCCTTTACTGAATTATCCCTTCCACTCTGACCCTCCCTAGATCCCTCTGGTGTCAATCATGTTGGGGTAATTCCAACCCCACAGGGCTGTATCTTCCCTCAACTCTAGTGTAGGAGATAGGGCTGTTTGGGATGTATCCAATCATTCATGGAGCCAAGTACTCCCCCAGTGGCATCTAGGGAAGAGAAAATGTTAGAATCCTGCCTACACTAGAAATGCTCCGTTAACAAGAGGAAGGTAAGAACAGAGAGGGCC